CATGAGAACTTCAGATCACAGACCACAGGAGGATATCTGAGATGAGAAAGTAGCGCGTTGAAGGCTTTGTGTCTAATATGGGACAAGGATAAGCATGGAAGAAGAAAAAGAGAGGGAAAATGTTAATCCCTTGCAGAAGATATAACTATGTGGATAATTCTAGTTTAAGAAGTGACTGGAAGAAAGAATAAAGTCACCGGGCAGCTGGTAGGCAAGAAGAAATGGTTAGAGTTGAAAAGGTACCAGAGAGAGTTCTCTCAGAGTTCTGTCACTTTAAAGTGTTTTCAAAGATTCTGCTTGGCTCCAGAGATCACAAGAGAAGCAGACCACCCCATCAGAAAATAGGTTTCAAGTGGAAATGAACTCCCAAGCAGCTTCTCATTATGTCCAGAAAAATCTAGAGAGGCAGGTAATATGGATTTGTGTGTTTGTGTGTATACATACATATAATTCAAATGTGAGACTGAGATATAATCTCCATGCCCTAAGTAAAGATGGCAGAAAAAGAGGTGTATTTTCCTTCTAAATTCTATAGTCTAGGGGTCCCAATCCACACCAGCATTTTTTTTTCCTTTTTCCCCTCCTTTTCCTAAGAGAGCGACAGTTCTCTGAGTAGAAAAAAAATTACTTTGTGTGATTGGACACAGATCAGTAGATGCAAAGGGTGCATGAATGAGAAAGCAGGGTGTACTAGTGTAACAACAGAGTGCAAGATTTAAGAAATTCAAATGCCTGGGTGTATAGCAAACACTGAAGTTACAAAGCATAATCACTGCTTAATTCTAAGTATTTAAATCACTCTGATTTGAATAAATATTGATATGTAAAAATTCTTAACAACGAAGCAGCACAACAATTTTTTAGTATACAGTATCCAAGCAAATACCACTTCTGCTAACTCAAGACTCAGATTCAGAGCCTTCTCAGCAGTGGCATGCTCTGAAGGGGTTGTGGTGATGCTCTTTACCTTCCATTATTAAAAACTTCTTAAAAAAACTGTGATGTGCCTTGGCAAAGGCAGTCTTGATGATGTCAACTCCTTTCTCTATAGAATGGGGTAAATAATAATGCCCCAACTTGCCTTTTAAGATTGTTGTGAGGACCAAATTATGAGAAAATTCTTTGTGAACCAGAAAGTCCCACACAAATATTAGTTAGAGTAGAGCTCCTGGTTAGGCTGTACTCATGTTTTCAGGCAGGAAAGCCAATAAGAAAGCTGGTATTTATGTAGGACTTCTATATGGCATGTCATCTCACTCAATACCATCTCAGGTAGAGAGTGATCACATCCCATTTTACATCTAGGGCTTACTAAGGCTTAAGTAACTTACCTAAGGCAAGCCAACTAGAAAGTGGTAAAACTAGGATCTGAACTTGTCTGCTATCTCAAAAAAACAGGTATCTTGGCACTAATACCTAATTGATTACTAGGTTTCAGAAAGAAAAATGAATGACAGTATCCTGGTTTTTATATAACCATAAAGTTTCTCATCGCCACCCTCATACTCAAGTTTTCAGTTTTACAAGATATCATATAAAATGTTTTAAACCTTCTGAAAGGGCTGATGCCAGTGGGATGAAACACTCAGTATGCATTGTGGAGTAGAGCTCAGGAAATAAAAACAAAGGCAGAGATAATCAGTTGTAACAAAAGTAAACAATTAAAACCTCAATAGCTTTGCCTGCCAAAGACTGCATCTCTTAGCCCCAACTGGGCACATGCAGGCCTCAATGACTATTGATTATGATTTAGTGATCTAAAGCGCATCTTTTTATTTTGGTCTCACTGTCTTAGTCTGTTTAGTGTTGCTATAAAGAAATATCTGAGGCTGAGTAATTCATAAAGAAAAGAGGTTTATTTGGCTCACAGTTCTGCAGGCTAAACAAGAAGCATGGCACTAGCATCTGCATCTGATGAGGGCCTCCAGGTGCTTCCACTGCTGGTGTAAGGTAAAGGGGAGCCAGTATGTGCAGAGATCACATGGTGAGAGATTAGAAGCAAGGTCGGGAGAGGTGCCAGATTATTTTAAACAACAAGTTCTTGGAGGATCTCTCAAGGGAACCAAAAGAGCTAGAACTTGCTCACTTCCCCTCTCCGAGAGAGGGCACTAATCTATTAATGAGGGATCCACCTCCATGAACCAAACACCTCCCATTTAGCCCCACCACCAAAACAGGATAAAATTTCAACATTAGACTTGGAGGGAATCAAATATCCAAACCCTACCACTCATCTAGCATCACTCGCAAGATGCAAACTTTACTGCTTATGGGCTAGAACTATCCATATATTAGCTATAAGGACAGCAGAGGGACCACACTGCTGATTTTTCCGTGTGTGGTGGGGCCCCATGGCAGAATGAAGAAAAGGGCATATATGCAGGGGTTGGAGAGACATGGCTGTGACCTGAACTCACTGGGTCCCCTGGGCCAGTCCTTGCTTATTCATCTGTAATGCTTCCTCATCTTGAAGCATTTGCCTCTGGAGTAATTGAGGAGACTTAGGTAAATTGTCAGCAAATCCTTTGAGCACAGTAGGCACTCAGGAGGGTATAGCTTCTGTATTAATGACTTATGAACTGGCTAATGTCCACTAGTAATTGTTTTTAACAAACACATATTCTTTGTAGCAGGCTAAAGATAACTGTTAAAAACTGCTGCTACTCTTCTCTTTGAGAGGTGAAGCCTAGTTCCTCTTCCCCTGAATTACTGTTGGTCTTACTTCCTCAGACAGTTCAATGTGGCATGCATTATTGTTCTGGGATTTCCAAGCCTAATTCATAATAAGTCCTCTAAGCTTCTAAGTATGACCAAGCCTCATACTGGTCGCTGCCATATAAGAAGTCTGACCACTGTGAAGCCACCATGTTGTGGGGGAACCGAAACTTGCCATGTAAGAAGGCTTCAGGGAGCCCTCAGCCATTGGAATCATTCCAGCCTAGGTCCCAAACACTCTGCAGTGAAGACAGTAGGCTCTGCTAAGCCCTGCTCAAATTACAGATTCATGAGCAGAATAAATGTTACTACTTTAAGCCACAAGCTTTTAGACTAGCTTGTTATGTAACAATGAAAAACCAGAATACTCAATCATGGTTTTTTTAATCCCAATTAAAAATACCATATTTTAATATATTTTTATCATAATATGAGTTATATAAAATAACATATTGCATGTGATGATGTTAGTTCTCAAGCCTATTTTAGACACAGACTAAATGTCTTAAAAATGTTTTGTTCATGGACAATGTTAATACACACTTAACTTAGTAACTGGCTGACCAGTGACATGTAAGAGATATTGTGCATATATTCTTGTCAGTAATCAGGGTAGTTTAGTCAGGGCCACTATCTACCTCCTAAGCAGGGAAACTACCTGTTCTGGGCTATTTGTATTTCCCAGCAAGCTCAGCAAACAGCAGTTGTTAAGACACAGCTGATTTCTGTAGCTAGCCAGATGATGTTTGAAATCCCTTCAGCATTCATAGTAGCTCAATTTAGGAGGATGGACCTCATCATCGGATAAGAGTTGTCTCTCAGGACTGCAGGATAATTTACTGATGCCTTTCAAATAACATATGACCCTAAAGTATTATGCAAACTTTGGGGCATACAATCAGCATAGGTGAACTCAACAAACATTTTGTTGTTCCAAAATCTACTCTGTTGTTCTTTATTTCTTGTTTTTTTTTTTCTGGAGATAAAGCCTTCCTTCCCTTCTCTGAGGGGTATGTGTGCATGTGTGTATGTAAAATCCTATTTATCCTTCATATGTCTCCTATCAAGGCAGAGTTAATCATTCCTTGATGACATTGCTTCTTCAATCTTTAAAGCCTATTCTGCGACAAACAAGCTTATCATTTTTTAAAAAGCGACAAACTGACAGTCCCACAGAACACATGGAAAAGGAACATGCGAGAGTCCCTATAATACTTGGCAACTTTCCACCAGGCTGAAACAGGCTGACGTGATGTTTCAGGGATTAGAATTCAGCAGAAGAAATGAGTCAATTAAAACACCCGGCCAGAATGCTGTCTGTAGATAAAGTGCTTTGCACTAGGGGTACAACATAAGCTGAATTACTAAATTCTAAGGGCTGGCTGACTGGTGATTTGCATCTCAGTATCTTTCCATTCTATTCTCTCAACAAAAGTTAACAAGGAGCCACTCAGCCTATGAAAGATACGTACTTCATTTACCTTGGCAAGAACGAGACAAACAATGAACTCACAATTTTCCAACTCACTGGCTTTGTTTTGACCTGGAGTATGTAATGCCAATTGTCCTAAGTGAGTTAACTGGAACATCAAACCCACCAACTGGTTTTGGTTTTTACATTCATTCAGTAGCAATTCTAATCCCAAAGGAAGTACAATTGCTACATGGCAATTGGTGCTTTGTGGCACTATACCCAAAATACATGAGCAATGTGCAGAAAGAAAGTCATAATTGAACACTCTTTATTCTACCACAAAACCAAGAAGTCACATTTTTACTACTTGTTATTTGAGAACCATGTATAACTATGCGTAACATTTCAAGCCAAAGGCTGTATGACAACAGGTTTTATGTGTTAAAATATAAAAAATACAGCCTACAATTTCCTCTCCGCGAGGAATCTACAGAAGGTCATCCTGGAAGAACACCAAACCAAAGGCAATAATGTTTTTGGACACTCATTCTCAAATTAACTATGGTTAACATGTCAATTTAGAATTATTATAATGGAGTTTATGTTATAACTGATGCCCAAGTTATAACTATAACTGATGTTAAAACTTCCCTTTGGAATTCAGGAACAACTGACCAGCATTAACATTAAAACAGAGTTCTTAGAATGACGACTTAATGCTTGATACTTCATCTAGATAAGGCAGAGTGAAACTTTACCATCCTCTTTCATTGATTTAACCCTGGCCCTCATCCAAAAAGTAAGTTCTGGGTACTCAGCAAATAACAACATTGGTATAATTTAGGAAAGAAGAAATGCAGTGTCAACTTACTTAACAGTTGGCAATAGAGGGCCTGTAAACTTCTCTTCATGGTATCATCTGGTCCTGCTTATCCTCCAGTTTATTCATGATTCTGTCTAGGAAATTGGGAGAAGAAAATTGTTACATCTGAGAAACATAACTGAAAAATCAGTAGGGACTCCACTCAATAGGATCTTAGTTGTAAGGCCTAATATACACAATTTTGAAGAGAAAAAATCTTGGGATAAATACACCGCAGTTTAATTTACAATGGTGTATGTTGTAAAATTACCAACTAATCAACTGGTCAAACCCTGAAACTATACACCCCACTGAAGGAAGCTCATAGGGGCAGCTAGTGAGAAATCTGGTTTCAGAATTGAAGACTGTTCATGAATCTCTGTAGTCATAGAAGAACCAAAAAATTTCTAATCTAACTTCTGCTAAGGCACTCACAAAACAAGCAAATACCCAAATAAAACAAACAAACAAAAAACAAGCCAGAAAGCTTTGCCACACTTGAAACTGTATTATTTTAAATAACTTTTCTATTATTTTCTGATTACATGGATATTTCTAGTATGGCATATTTAGAAAAAGTAAACAAAAAACACAGATAAAAATTAACAAGAAAATACATATTATGCACAATCCCACAAATAAGAGGTGATTACTGCTCACATTTTAGAGTATATCTCTTCAGCCTTTTGAATGTGCACTTTCTATTGGTCTGTTTCATTTTATATATTATACATTTTAATTTTTCTCCCCAGCAGCAGAAATATCTTTCTGTGTTGTTACTATTACTTTACAGTTTTATTTTACATGGCAAACTGTGTCTTTAGGATAAATTCCTGGAAATGGAAACACATTACAGAAGGACATAAATTAAGGCTTTCTGAAATAAATATATTTCCAAATTGCTCTTCACCAATTCCAGTATATTAGAATAACCATCAGACTACACTTTACCCAATGAAGAAATTAACAATTTCATCTCCATCAATAGGCAAATGTTCCATCTCAATGTTTTACTTTTTATTTTATATTTATTAGTCATTTATACATAAAAATTTAAAAATTCATATTCCTTAACCATTCTCTACTATCATGCTAGGTTTTTTTTTCCCTCATGACACCCCAAGTAGAACTATCTATCTTTAAAATTTTTTTTATTAAGATATAACTCATATGTAAAATTCAGCCTTTAAGGTATACAATTCACTGATTGGCAATATATTCCAAAGTTGCCCAACTATCACCACTACCTAATTCCAGAATGTTTTCATCACTCAAAAATGAAATCATCATGTTCACTTCACCATCAGTCACTCCCCACTTTCCTCTCCTTTGGCAACCACTAATCTGTTGTCTTTACCGATTTGCCTATTCCGAACATTTTATATGAATACAATCATACATTATGTGTCTAGCTCTTTCACTCAGCATAATGTCTTCTTTTTTTCTTTCTTTTTTTTTTTTTGAGATGGAATTTCACTCTGTTGCCAGACTGGAGTGCAGTGGCGCAATCTCAGCTCACTGCAACCTCTGCCTCCTGGGTTCAAGCAATTCTCATGCCTCAGCCTCCCAAGTAGCTGCAATTATAGGCATGTGCCACCACACCCAGCTAATTTTTATATTTTTCATAGAAAAAATAAAATCCTTCATTAAGGATTTTAATAAAGTGATCTTAAAGTTAATTTTGGAGGGGGAAGAGAAACAAACTCAAATAACAAGACAAATCTTTTTAAGAAGAGTAATAATAGAGAACTAACTGTACCAGTGGTTTAATTTAAACACTTATTATTCTTCTTGAAAAATGACCAATGGAGAAATAAAACTTAATACAAAGTCCAGAAACAGACTGTTGATGAAAAAGCTAAACTTCATAAAATATTTGAAGAGATTTCTTCTGAGCCAAATATGAGGACCATGACCGGTAACAAAGCCTCAGGCGGTCCTGAGAACATGTGCCCAAGGTGGTTGGGTTACAACCTGGTTTTGTAAGTTTTATAAAACATCAGTCAATACATGTGAGGTATACACTGTTTTGGTTTAGAAAGGTGGGACAACTCAAAGCAAGGGCTTACAGACCATAGGTGGATTCAAAGATTTTCTGGTTGGCAGTCGGTTGAAGGAGTTATTAATATTATTTGAAGATGTAGAATCAATAGAAAGAAGTGTCTGGCTTAAGATAATGGGTTGTGGAAAGGAAACCAAGGTTCTCATTATGCACAGAAAAGTGGCTGCCCTTAGAGGTAACAGATGGCAAATGTTTCCTATTCAAACATTTAAAAGGTGCCAGACTCTCAGCTAATCTCTCCAGGGTCAGAATGTCCTGGAAAGGCAATGGGATTCTCTACAGTATGTAAATTTCCTCTCCAAGAGATAGCTTTGCAGGACCATTTAAAATATATCAAAGAAATATATTTTTGGGTGAAATACTTTGATATTTTTCAGAGCCTGCTATCCGTCATGTGATGCCATACTAGAGTCAGATTGGAATTTGGTATCTTGTTACTACAAACAGTCTGTTCTGTCACTTCTAAGATCACTGTTTTAATGTTAATGCCAGTCAGTTTTGCTGAATTCCAAAGGGAAGAAAGTATAATGAGGCATGTCTAACCTCCACTTCCCATCATGGCCTCAGCTAATTTTTCAGGTTTCTTTGGAATTCCCTTGGCTGAAAGGAGAAAGCCATTCAGTCAGTTGGGGTGCTTAGAATTTTATTTTTGGTATATATTATCTAAGAATACAAAAGTATTCAGAATGTAATAAATGAAATTAAAAAAATGCCGAAAGTGTATTAGTTTGTTTTCACACTACTAATAAGGACATGTTCAAGACTGGGCAATTTACAAAAGAAAGAGTTTTAATGAACTTACATTCTACATGGCTGGGGAGGCTTCATAATCATGGTGGAAGGCAAGGAGGAGAAAGTCACATCTTATGTGGATGGTGGCAGAAAAAAAGGGAGAGCTTGTTCAGGGAAATTACCCACCCCCCCCCTTTTTTTTTTTTTTTTTTGAGATAGAGTCTCGCTCTGTCACCAAGGCTGGAGGGCAGTGGTGCAATTTTGGTTCACTGCTACCTCCGCCTCCTGGGTTCAAGTGATTCTCCTTCCTCAGCCTCCTGAGTAGCTGGGATTACAGGTGTGCTCCACTACACCTGGCTAATTTTTGTATTTTTAGAAGAGACAAGGTTTCACCATGTTGGTCAGGCTGGTCTTGAACTCCTGACCTTGTGATTCACCTGCCTCATCCTCCCAAAGTGATGGGATTACAGGCGTGAGCCACCATATCCGGCCCCCATTTTTAAAACCATCAGATCTTGTGAGACTTATTCACTATTATGAGAACAGCATGTGAAAGACCCACCCCTATGATTCAGTTACCTTCCACCAGGTCCCTCCCAATACACATGGGAAACCAAGATGAGATTTGGGTAGGGACACAGCTAAACCATATTAGGAAGAAAATATGGGCAAGAATTTATGTAATCTTGGACTGAGGAAGGCCTTTGTAACCATGAAAGTGTGTCTGTGGGGTAAGTAGAATTCTTATTGAAAAAGCACTTGAAAACCTGGAATTTTATATAGCATTGATGAATCTTAAAAACCTTATGCTGAGGCCGGGCATGGTGGCTCATGCCTGTAATTTCAAGACTTTGGGAGGCTGAGGCAGGTGGATCATGAGGTCAGGAGACTGAGACCATCCTCGCCGGCATGGTGAAACCCTGTGATTATAGTCATAATTATCTTCTATTTGCTTTATTAATTTGGGAGAGAATGACTTGATCTCATCAAAATCCATCTGGGGTGAGGAAGAACATAAGTATTCCAAAACTTACTGCTCTGGAAATCAAAGAGTTCTTTTTGGGGTGAGAAGTGCTTTTTGTTGGGGAGAGGGGTACAAAAGCTCAATGACTTCTTTGGTTAGGCAAATTCATCCCACACCACCAGTGTGATTTGTATGAGGAAGAAAAAGAGAGACAGCTAAAGTGCTTTTCATTATAGAAAAATTAATTATGACCTTTGAGTTTCCAGAGGCTATGGCTAGGAAATAGGAGCTAAAGAGTCTAGAAACAAGAGAAGCTGAGGGATAATACACAAGAGATACTGAGAGACAGAAAGAGGCAACTCCAAAAGATGGTAGCAGGTGGGACCTAAGGATGACAGATAAAGTGAGAAATTCCCCATAAGGAGATGCCTCATGAATGTTAAAATGTCTAATATGTAATTTTTCATTGCTTATTGTTTTATGCTGTTTGTACTATATGTGTGTTAGTCTTTTTTCATGCTGCTGATAAAGACATACCTGAGACTGCGTAATTTATAAAGAGAAAGAGTTTTAATGGACTTACAGTTCCATATGGCTGGGGAGGACTCAAAGCATGGTGGAAGGCAAAAAGTATGTCTTACATGGCAGCAGGCAGGAAAGCAAAAAAAGCCAAGCTAAAGGGGTTTCTCCTTATAAAAGCACCTGATCTCGTGATACTCAATCACTACCATGAGAACAGTATGGGGGAAAATACCCCTATGATTCAATTATCTTTCACCAGGTCCCCCTCTACAACACGTGGGAATTATGGGAGCTATAATTTAATATGCTACATTTATATTCCTTCTCCAAAATGCTCATTCACTACTAGTATTGTCAAAACCTCAGTAAAAGTCTGCATGAAACAGTCTTGTATTAGTGATGCTTGACAGGGTTAATGAAAGAGAAGAGATCGTGTCCCAAGCCAAGGGTGACCCAGGAGCGGTTAGAGGCAGAAACCCCAGGAGCCACAGCAATGGTTAGTTGGTATCTTATGGAATGTTTAGAATATGGCAAGCATTCAATAAATGATTAGTAAATAAACAATGAATGAATAAATAATCATTAATAAATGATCAATAACAAGAGAACAGAGAAACAGTTGTAGTTTAATATAATGATCAAGGGGATCATAAACCCTTCAGTAGTCTCTGGAAATTCTTAGAGATTTTTGAAAAAGTGACAGACTTCTCATAACATATGAAATAGATCTACCTTATTCAGTTATCAAAAACAACTGAGTCTGTAACTCTGGGAGATTTGGGATCAACTGGGTTACACAGGGATATCGCAG